TCCCTCGGGAGGGGACATTGCTGATAACAGATATTGAATGTCACTGCATGGCTGATATATATATAACATATATATATATATATATATATATGTTATATATATATACTATAACATCCCATTGGGAGATGCTCCGCCCAGAGGGAGGAGCCAAGCATTGCTACCCAGATATAATCCAGAGGTTTTGAGACACCAGCACGGCTTTCTGCACTGGATTCCCCAGAGGAACAGCAGCTGCCTCTCCTTCCACTGGATCTTCAGAGGAAGAATCCATCCTTCTCTACAGATCCCTGCTCCAACAGAACCAGCCCTGACACTGCAGGAGGGCTGCAGCCACATTTCCAATGGGACTGCCACCAACACCCTGACCCACAGGGTGTCAGGTTGGGTTCTGACTCAGTGTTGTTCTAGTGCACTGCATTGTTTATTTTATCCTTTACTTTTTTTCTTTTCCCTATTAAAGAACTGTTATTTCCTGCTCCCATATTTTTGCCTGAGAGCCCCGTAATTTAAAATTTATAGCAATTCAGAGGGGTGGGGAGGGTTTACATTCTCCATTTCAGGGGAGGCTCCTGCCTTCCTTAGCAGACTCCTGTCTTTCCAAACCAAGACAGAGCTGCACAGAGCCATCAGCTCCAGCTTCTCTCCCTTCCCCTAAAGCCCACTGACAGTCTCTCAGAACAAAGCAAGCCGTTCTCTGGATCTCCCTTATCTTATTGTACATCAGTTTGCTGAAACATTCATGGGATCACTGCTCATTTCATTTACCCTTAAGGCCAGCCCCTCTGCTTATTAAATTAAGAAGATGAATGAGAGATTTTCTCTCTTGCTAGCAGCCCAGGGGATTCATTAGTCAAGTAAATGATTGCACTTGCCTCAAGTTATGCTACTGCAATGTTTGTAATGTGTCTTCTGATCTCGGCTCCCCATGCAGGATTTGGAAACAAGGTTGGCTTTCAGACAGGTCACATTTAATTCCAGTCATCTGGCTTCAGCAAATGGAATAAAAAAGGCCTCAAATTCACTATCCTATAATTCCCTGCCTTTGCTCAGCCCTCCAAACGTTTCACAGAGCAGACACACGAGGGGAATCAGGAGCTCCATGCAAGGCACCAATATTTGTCCCATTTATGTCTGTATCAGGCACAGTCACCACTCTAACACTGGCAGAAAGCACAGATTTGGGGACAGTGACAGAGCTGCTCTGGGCAGGAGGGAGCAGTTCCCCCACCACGTTGGATCATTAATTAAGCACAAAGGTAGCTGTTAACAAGCTCCCTTCTGCCTTCCAGAAAGGAGCTGGCTCTGTAACTGCTGCCAGAGGACAGCAGCGTTTCTGAGTGCCATGGCAGGAAAGCAGGAAGGAAATGGCATTTCAGAAAAAGGTTAAAGTCCACATCCCAATTAAACTGCACCACGGCATGGATGGAAAGGAGGCTGAGCACAGATGAACTCTGAGGAATAACTGTCCCCAGTTCTACAGGGCTGCTCCAGGACAAGCAGAACCTGGATGAACAAACCCCACCAGCATGGCTGGGTGAGCACTTCAGAAGTGGGATGAGCAGCACAGAAGAGATTCCCTCTGGTGAGCAGCAGATTGCACACCTTGGAAGTGACTTCCAAGTTGTGCTGTCACATCTGGGGACTCAGTGGGACACAAGCTGCCACCTTTAACACCAGGAAAACATCACAGCAAAAGCAGTTTCTGTGTAATGGAGCTGCAAGGAAGCACATTGCCTCCTTTAGAAATGGCAGCAGCAAGAGCCATGGTTCCTGTCACCCACTACAACTCCCAGACATGCCCAGGTGACTTAACACTCTGCCACAAAACTACACAGATGAGTCTGAAACACCAAGTATGAGCAGTCTGCCCAGCTCCTGAAGGTTTCCCAGCAAGCCTGGAGCCAATGAGAAATGGAGGCTGCTCCCTTCCCAGCATTGCACCTGAGCAGAGCAGCACAGCAGGCAGGCACTCAGAAATGCTCCCTCCCCTGAAATGCAGCACAGCTGCAGCAGCAGATGAAAACACCTGAGCTACAAACCAGCCTGCAAAAGGAAGAGCCAACTCCAACGGCAACAGCTGTGGGAAAGGAATTAAGATGTCTGAGCCAACACAGCTGTCCTCCCTCTCCTTGCCCATGAACCAAGGGCTGATTTCCCTCCCAGTTTTGCCACAACTTTCTCACCTGACCTTCATGGAGTCATTTCTACCCTGTCTATAAATAGCAGAACGTGACAATTCTGCTGCCTCTGCAGAGGGGAGGGCTCAGCCAGCACTGATTTCACACAGTGAGCATGGCCAGGCTTCAAACAGCTCCAGGCACACAGAGCTGCTCTGCCCTGGAGCAGTACAGGACACTCTCCACCACTCCAGGGAAGGGCAGGAGGCAAGGCTGACCAATTTGCATGGATAAGTGCTCCCATTTACCAGGCAGCATAATTAGGACAAAGTTAACCTTGGAGTAGCCTGCAGAGGACTTTAAGGTGGCCACAGATGGCTGCAAAACGCCCTCACTTACTGCTGGATGCTTGCTTCAAAAGAACTCATGAATTGCAGAATGGTTGGGTTGGAAAGGACCTTAAATCTCATCCAGTGCCACCCCTGCCATGGCAGGGACACCTCCCACTGTCCCGGCTGCTCCCAGCCCTGCCCAGCCTGGCCTTGGGCACTGCCAGGGATCCAGGGGCAGCCACAGCTGCTCTGGGCACCTGTGCCAGGGCCTGCCCACCCTCACAGGGCAGAATTTCCTTCTAGTATCCAACCTAACCTGGCCTTCTATCAGTGTGAAACCATTCCCTGTTATCCCATCATTTCATGCCCTTATCAAAAACCCTTCTCCAGCTCTCCTAAAGCCCCTTTCAGTATTGAAAGCCTGTGTCCTTCGCTCTCTTGGTCAAATTAACAGCCCTGGCAGCCCCTCCCAGGAAAGGGTTCTGAGTCCTAAGTGGAGAATCTGCCTGACAGAAGTTGAGGGACAGGAACCACCCAGCCTGTGTAGGTTTGGGATAGAACAACGTTCCTTGCCCTAAACCCGTGGGATTTAATTACACGGCCACAAATGTGGAATTAGCCCTCAGGTGTTCTTCCCACCTGGGCTGCAGCTACCTCTGATAACCCAGAATTAATCCTGACCACAGCAGAAATCACAGAGCAGCCCCTGGGGCTGCTGGAACATTTTGGCTTCGAGCTGAGAGCCCAGGGCTGGTCCAGCCCTGCAGAGCCCTGCCATTCCCAGAAGCAAACCATACACACACATAATATTTATTCACCTTTTTGATCCTTTTTCAGGGATCAAAAAGGTGAATCAAGCCCAGGGATCAAGCCCAGCTCCTGCACAGCAGCACCCCAGGGAGCTCACACAGCCCAGACCCCCCAGTAAAACCCAGTCTGGAGGAGTGGGGAGGGTTCAGAGCACTCAGAGGCAGCACTTATTTGAGAAACTACACATTCCAGTCTCCAGCTCACGAAAGGAACTGATTTTAACCGCGGGGACACCCCGAGCAGGAGCTGCCCAGGATGCGGGAAGGCACGGGAGCTCCATCCTCCGCTTTTTTACACGCCAAACGCACAAATTTAAGGAGCTGCCGCCATCTAGTGGGTCTGATAGACCCTGTGATAGATGAGCCA